TGAGGGTTGCGGTCCGTTGCCGGACACGAAAAAAGACAAAAAGGGAAAAAAAAAAAAAATTTTCTCTAGAGGATGGTCAGTTAGCTCAGCTGGTTAAAGCATGGTGTGATAACACCAAGGTCAAGGGTCTGGATCCCTGTACTGGCCAGCTGCCAAAAAAAAAAAAAGCCACTGTGGCAGTACCTGCTAGCCAGGACCTGGGTTTCACACCCACACACAATGAGGCAGTGGGTGATAAGTTGAAGCCCCTGGTGGACATGGGGAGGTGTCACACAACTCCTTGCTGAGGAGGCTGTCCTATGCACTGTAGGATGTTTAGCAGCATCTCTGGCTGCTACCCACTAGATGCCAGTAGCACATCCTCAGTTGTGATAACCAAAAATGCCTCCAGATATTGCCAATGTCCCCTGGGGGACAAAAATCACTCCCAATTGAGAACCATTGCTTTGGCTAAAGGGTGAAAGAGGACATTCAGAGAAAAGTCTTACAACTATGCAAGAAACCTGCTTGAACTTATAAGAAGGGTTTTCTACCTAGCATGACAAATATAATAGCGATGTATATAATATTCTATATGGTGTTTAGAACATTAATTCTTAGCCATTCCCATGGCAAGGGACATTCACAGGAGGTTTGTAGGTTTGATAAATATAAATAAGGCTAAAACTGTAAATAATTTCTTCTGCTCAATTCTTATTAATTCTATGGATAGATTCCCAGCAGTGGCATTACTGGGCAAAGAGCAGGCATATTCAGTATATATAGCCAAACAGCTCTTCCAATGTCATTACCAGCAATGTCTGAAGGGATCTGTCTCCCCCAATCTTAGCTCCATCCCCAACTATAAGCTTCTGGTGGGGCAGGGCTATGCTCATTCATCTCCAACACCTAGCACACAGCCTGACAAATAGCAGGCTGCCAGTATCTGTGATGACAGCCATGATGGTTTTCAGCAAACAGATGAGGAGTGTCCAGGTGGGGGCAAGTCCGGGGCCCCTCTACCTTCCCTGCAGGACTCACGCTTTAGGGATTGCCACGCTCAGCCGCACAGGTTTAGACCCCAGTCCTACTGCTCCCTGGCACTCCGTCAGGGCTCGTTTCTGTTCCAATTCATCTGTGAATTTCACAAAACCATAACCCCTGCAGGAACAAAAACCCCCCCAACACACTATTTAAATCACCAGTGTGATGAAGGAAGAGTCTATGAATAAAGGCATGGAAAAGAGGGAAGGGTAAGAAGGTGGGCAGGAATATGGAAAGGAAGAGGGGCTGAGAAGGGGGAGAGAGAGAGTCCATTAAACTGTGGAAAGGGATGAAAGTCCTATCAGTTGGAGGTGTCCACAGACCAGTGTCAAAATTCAAGCACTGGGTGATCCTGAGATCTGTAGGAATTCCCCCTTTTAGTTCACCATTCTCCTTGACAACTTCACTCATGGGGTCCTTCCCAAATAGTACCTTCCCTCCCAATCTACTGAAAAGTAACTACTACTTTATTATTATCATTATCATTATGATAACAGCAGTGGTAGTAACAGCTGAATAAGTTTATTAAGCAAATATTTAGAGTCTGTCCTGTATGCCAGGTATTGCGCTAGGCATGGAATGTAGCAGTCACAGACAGATGAGGTTCTATTCTCTTGAGCTCACATTCCGGTTGGTGGATAATAATGACAGCTAACATTTAATGAGCACTTATTATTTCCAAGGGTTATCTCATTGAACTGTCCAACAATTCCATAAAGTTAGTATCCATATTTTACTAAAGAGATAAGCCAAGTTCAAAGTTTAGAGAGGTTTAGTAACTTGCCCAAAGTCATAGTAGAAACAGGACTTGGGTTAGTCGGTTAGCTCAGTTGCTTAGAGCACAGCCTTGTAACACCAAAGTCAAGGGTTACTGGCCAGCTGTCAAAAAAAAAAAAGAAGCAGGACTCAAATCCACGTCTGTCAGACTCCCAAAGCCTGAGCTTACAACTACTACACTGATCAAGAATGAGCCTCTTTTGAGGTTTTTCCATTTTTAAAGTGGAAAATTTCTAACTGCAATGAAAGGCTCAGTAATAATAATAAATAAAATAGCAAACACCTAGAAAGCATTTTATATGTGACTTATTTATATTATAACCTTTAATCCTCATATCAATCCTATGAGCAGACCCATTTTACAGATGAGGAAACAGGGTCAGAGAGGCTCGTGTAACTTGTCTACTGCATTATCTCTATTACCAAGTCCTGGAGCTGGCATTCACACCAGGCAGTCTGGCTCCAGAGCCTGTGCTCTTAACCACCCTGCTATGTGGTCTCTCTACAACACCTCCATCTAGGAGAGAAGAATACCAAAACTAACAGAGTAGGCATCAATAACAGGTAAGGCCTTACTTAGACACGCCCGTCTGGTCCAAAACCACCTTTCCTCCCCGACAGGAAGGGTAGACTTTGACGAAGAATTCATATAGCATGCCATCGTCCACGTCTGGGGTCAGGTCCCCAACAAAGAGGGAATACTCAGGGCTGAGAGGAGAGAACAAGATTCAGAGACAAAGACCAAACCTTCTGCTCTTTTGGCACATTCCAGGTAAATCTCTCCTGGGCTTTCTCAGGGAACAACACATCTGATGGGTCTACTTAAACAGATCCTAATTTGTTTCTTTACATTAGTCTTGGCAGAAGAGTTATGAAAGGAGTCCCCTGACCCGAATCCCTCACCACTACACGAAACCTGTCTGGCTTCAAGTACTACATGAGTGCAGATGGGGGGACAGGGTCAGAGGTGCATTTCTGAGGCACTTGAAAGATAAAACTAGACATTCTTCACTCAAGACATAATTTTAATGCAGATTTGAAAAGATAGGGATAGAATAAGAAATGGATCTTATCTCCTAAAGATCTAAAGCCTAGCTAAAATGAAATCCCCAAACTTTTATTTTTTAGACCCGAATCCCTCACCACTACACGAAACCTGTCTGGCTTCAAGTACTACATGAGTGCAGATGGGGGGACAGGGTCAGAGGTGCATTTCTGAGGCACTTGAAAGATAAAACTAGACATTCTTCACTCAAGACATAATTTTAATGCAGATTTGAAAAGATAGGGATAGAATAAGAAATGGATCTTATCTCCTAAAGATCTAAAGCCTAGCTAAAATGAAATCCCCAAACTTTTAGAACAGGGATCAGCAAACTTTTTCTATAGAGGGCCAGATAGTAAATATCTTAGGGGAAAAAAAATTTTACCCTTTGAGGTACCTATAGTCTTTGTCACATTTTCCTTGCCTATTTTTACAATCCTTTAAAAATGTAAAAACTACTTTTAGCTTGTGGATGATATAAATCAAGGCATAGTTTGCCAACCCGTGTTCTAGATCAATTCTATTCACAAAATAAGTCAATAAACTATCTTTTGTTATTAATTTCTTATTTAAAGCATGATACATATTTCTTGCATAAAATCAGAATACACAAAAGCACAAAGATAAATGAAATTACCAATGACACAATCACTCCAAGGCAACCACTATGAATGCTTTGATATATACTTTCATCTTTTTTCTATCGCTTTTCTTTGGAATTTACAAAAATTTGATACAATTTCTTGTATTTTGTTCCTGGCATTTTTTCACTTTTAACATTATGGCCAACGTCCTGACATGTCAGTATTCTGCAACATGACTTGTTAATGGATACACAGCATTCCAATTAATGAACATATTATATAATTTAACCACTTCTATATTAGGTTATTTGGGTTTTTCCGCAACTTTGTCCATCATACATTAATATTTCAATGAACACTTTTGAAGTTAATCTTTGCACACATCCATGAATAAATCCTGACAAGCAGAACTACAGAGTAAATGGGTACAAACATTATTAAAGCTTTTGATACATTGTTTTTAACAATGTATCTAATAATAGCAACCTGAAATGCCAATCAATTCATATTGCCACAACAGGTCAATTTTTCTTGAATAAAATCCCAATAGAGGGCTAGCTGGTTGGTTGGTTAGAACTCAATGTTATAACACCAAGGTCAAGGGTTCAGATCCCCATGCTGGTCAGCCAACAAAAAAGAAAAGAAAAAAAACCCTCAAAGTTCAGGGAGGGACCAAACATAGAAGAGACATGTCTTGACATGAAGCATACCAGGAAGGTCCACCAATGGGGAAACTGGAGGGTGTCTTCCTTAGGAGGAGGCCACAATGCAGCCACATTCCCATCCTCCTTTTTGGTAGCAACCAGCATAGTGACACATCTTGTCTCTGTCTAGACATTTCCACGGGCTTGAAGCTGCCTTGGGACTACTCTGTACTTACCTGTTATCAGGTTGTTTCCCATAAGTAGCATAGTTCAGTTTAAAACGTTTTGCCTGGAAATTTAAAAACAAACAAATTAAAACGGAGAAAGGTGTTTCAAGAGTCAAACAATATTTGAAAAAAACTGAAATAAATTACCTTGGCCAAAACATCTCCCCCTCTCTAAGCCTCAGCTTTTTCTCCTGTATAAAAGGAGGGGGTTGCACGGATGACCGCTAAGAGCACTGCCAGCTCCATGGTTCTATGAGCCCAGGTGTGCCGGCTGGTGCAGCTGTAAGCTAAGTAACTGTGGGAAGAGCAGAATGTAACTCTCTTGAAACATGTCCTTGCTCCTGCCAGCCTGTTCTAGTTTCTCAATCAGGCAAGAGGTCTAGAGTTTCAAGTCTTCTGTTATAGGAGGTAATAATGCAGAGTGGAAAGGGCATGGATTTTGGAGGCAACCAATCTTCAGTGTGAATCCTGGCTCTGTCACTTACTAACTGGGTTGCCCTGGGCAAGTTATTTCACTTGGGCAAGTTATTGAGCTTCAGTTTCCTGGTCTGTCAAAGACAACAATGCCTACTGTACAGGGTTGTTATAGGATCAAATAAAATGACATAAGTATACAATAGGGATTCAATAGATGGTAGTAATCAAAGACAGAAACGGCAACATCATCATTATCTCAATGTCCTTACAGGTGTGGCTCCTGGAAGGGGTTTCCCATTAATTTTATGCAAACACTTCTCTGCTGTGGCCAAATCTGCAAATTCTACAAAACAGTAGCCAGCTGGGATCCTGCAAAGTAAAGCAAACAGAGAAAGAGAATGGTTAAAGGTACCCCTGATGAGTCTTGGCCTGACCGGAGGGAGATATGGTTTTCTAGTCAGAGCCCATACTGTTTTTGTTCCTTAACATATTCCAATTCAGAACTAATTTACAAACCTGAATATAAGTATTGCCAACCGGGGCCAGTCCCAGGCTCATTTTGTAAACATTTATTTATGTACTGGAGGACCTGTGAAGTACTCTTGCCAAAAATGTTTAACGTGAAACAATCAAACCTTTGGACGTAACATCCAGTTTAGAGGAAATACTAGGGATAGAACAAATAAAACACTACCACAAGGAAATAAACAAAGCTAGCATGCAGGATGTTTTGTAAGACTAGTCTTACCTCCTTAAACTGTCAGTACTATGAGAAAAGAAAAAGGTTGACTTCTGTCTACTGAGAGACTTAGAACTAAATGCAATGCAGGATTCCTGATTGGATCTTAATTCATTAAAAAACAAAACACACTATCAGAGATATTATGGGGACAATTACAAAAATTTAAATGTAAACTGGCTATTATATGGTATTAGAGAATCATTATTAATTTTGTTAATGTGATATGAGCACTGTGGTTATGTAAGAATGTTTAATTTTGGCGATGTATGTAGAGATATTTAGCAGCGAAGTGTCACAATGCTTGTAATTTACTTTCATATTGTTACCAGAAAGAAATATCTATGTATCTACCTATCAAGTAAATACAGACTACTTTTGATCACCTACCACAAGCCAGGCTGATACAGAGTTGAAGACCATGGTTTCTGTCCTCAAGAAACTTACAGTCTAGTAAGATAGACAGTGTAAAACCTTACCTAACTGGGAGGTGCCTGTGAGATGCCCAACATTCTTTTTTTTTTGAAAGACGACCCGTAAGGGGATCTTAACCTTTGACTTGGTGTTGTCAGCACCACGCTCACCCAGTGAGCTAATCGGCCATCCCTGTATGGGATCTGAACCCGTGGCCTTGGTGTTATCAGCACCACATCTCCCGAGTGAGCCATAAGCCGGCCCCCCAACATTCTATTTTTGAAAGTGTCACTAAGAGACTTTTAGTAGGAAGGTGTAGTTATACCCTCCAGCATCCTTTTCTACTAAGAGATTTATATTGAAAATAATAATTTTCCTTGATACCACCATATCAAGGTATCATCAGTGAAATAATCTACACTTTTCTGGAAATACTATTTTTTGTTTGTTTTGGGGTTTTTTTTTTGGCAGCTGGCTGGTACGGGGAACCAAACCCTTGACCTTGGTGTTACAAGGTCGCTGTCTAACCAACTGATGGAAATACTATTTTAGATCTTCAGTTCAAATAACACACAGACAAGAGGGGATAGGTAGGCAGAGTATCTGAGCCCAAGGATCACAGAACAGAGTCTATGAGCTCCATAAACATTTGTTGATTCTAAGAATGGCAGGATCTGTGCCTCCTGTCCTGTGCATGCTAGAATCTTAAGGTCCACTTATATAAAGACCATCAGCACTAAGAGTTGACCATTACTGAGCACTTACTATGGGCCATGCACTCTACTAGCCATTTCACATGTCCCATCTCATATAATCATCATAAAAACTCTATGAGGTGAATGAAACCATTACCCCCATTTTATAAATGAGACTGAAACTTAGTGGGATTATACAAGATACCATAAATCATACAGCTTGTAAGTGTCAAAGGTTGGATCTGAATTCAGGATAGTCTGATTACATTCTTTTCCCAATGTTTTATTATGAAAATCTTCCAACATAAAAGTCAAAACAGAAAATACCCATATGTCCACCACCTACCATTAACATTTTACTACACTGATTTTACTTTACAACAACTATCCATCTATATACCTCTCTATCCATCTATCAGACTTATTTTCTGATACATTTCAAAGTAAGTCACAGATATCAGTATATTTTCCTCAATTACTTCAGTATGAATATCTTTAAAGTTCAATTGTTTACAGCTTTTTTCTTCTAAGGTAAAATTTATATACAATGAAATGCACAAATCCATCTAGAGGCTGAGTTCTTTCCACCATAGATTAATTTTGTCTGTGCTAGAATCAATAAGGCTTCTTTCATTCAGCATGTTTTTGAGATTCATCATTGTTGCTATATCAGTAGTTTGTTTCTATTGCTGAGTAGTTTTCTATTGTATGAATATAACAGTACAGTATCAATTCACATATTCATGAACACCTAGATATTTGCATTTTTTGACTTTTGTCATATAGCTGCTATAAACATTCTTTTCAAGTCCTTTTTTGTGTGTAAAACCATATATATGTTTTCATTTCTCTTGGGGAAATAATGAAGGACTGGACTTACCAGGCCTTAGGGCAGATGTATATTTAGTTTTATAAGAAACTGCGAGACATCTGCCCCCAGTGATTGTACCATTTTACACTTCCACCAGCGATGAATGACGAATATTGTTGCTCCACATCTTGACTGCAATCTTTTTTTAAAAAACCTTTTTATGGTGGCTAAATATACTGTATTAATCAGTTTTTTGATGCTAAATAACAGAACACCTGAAACTGGGTAATTTGTAAAAAAACAGAATTTATTAACAGTTTTGGAGGCTGGAAAGTCCAAGGTCCATCCAGGAGGCACATCTGGTAAGACTCCTATGGCAACGCAGATTGTCACATGGCAAGGGCTGAACAAGAGTGCACATTAAGGTGCTCATTTGCTCTCCTGATAAAGCCACTGCTCTACATCCACAATAATCCATTAATCCATTAACCCATTAATGGATTAATCCACTCATGAGGGTAGGGCCCTCATGATCCAATCACCCCCTAAAGGCCCCACCTTTCAACACAGCCATATTGGGGATCAAGCTTCCACATGAGCCTTGGAAGGGACAAATATTTAGATCATAGCATATATATATAACATGAGATTACTCATTTTAACCATTTTTAAGCAAAAAGTTCTGTAAGATTAAGTACATTCACATTGTTGTGCAACCATAGACTGCATTCGTAAGCATTGTGCTCCATTGCATAGTATTTTTCCTTGGGTCTTATTTTTTCCTCTTATTTTATCTTGTTTTGGTTTTTTATTTGCATTTATTTATTTTATGATATTCTTGTAAGCCACTTCAAAGCTTCTGTCAAAGGAGGTAGGATGTAAATATGTGCCCATAGGTATCACCACAAATAACAGCTACACTTTAGTAATTATGGATAAGAAAGGATAGTTCCAAAACTTATTTCAATAAAGATGAAAATATAAGAAACTATGCCAGTGTTTTAAAAAGTAGAAAGTGTTACAGAATTAATTTTCATACCAGAAGATGATTATCTGGGGTTTTCTGTCTACAAGAGCAGAAAGATAAATATTTGGGCAGGCATGATTTACCAGTCATAAAATCTGTCCCTAGGTGATAGGGTTTTGAATACACAAAGTACCTGTTCATCAAAGAGCCATAGAGTTGGCCACTTCAGATCTCTCATCTCTTTTTTTAAGCCATTTTATGTTTTAGCAAGGCACATTTAGTAGAGTACCTGTCAAATTGATTCACTTCTAACCAGAACCCTAAGGAAAACTGAGACCCCAAAGAAAAAGAAGAAACTGGAGGCAAGACAGCAACACTATCTGAAAATATTCCGCATTTTGTTTTGTTTACTTATTTATTGCCTCATTCCCCCACTAGAATGTAGTAAACTCCAGGAACAGAGACAATGAATGGCTTATTCCAGACCTTTCTGCCCAGAATCTAGAAAAGTAGCACATAATAGTGTCTCTATAAATAATTTTTTAAATAAATGGCATAAGAGTTAAGGGCACTCATGAGTTTTGAGGACAGACTTGAATTTGAGTCCTGGCTTGTCATTTAATAGCTGTGAAACTTCAAGACAGTTATTAAGCTTCTCTAATAATAGTACTTACCTCAGAGGTTTTAGTGACTTAAAAAAAAATGAATGTAAAGTGCATATTACCTAGCAGATCATAATCTGTTTATACCTAGTGAGCATGTCAGACACTGCTGAATGTGAATTAACTCATTTAATCTGCACCATAATTCTATGACGTAAGTGCTGTCACTATTCCCATTTTTACAGTTAGGGCCAATGACACAGAGCAGTTAAGTAACTTACCCAAGGTCACACAGCAGAAACAGCTTTCAAACCCAGTCTGGCTCCAGAGTCCTGTCCTTAAGTAATATGATAAACGCCTACTCAGTAAGCCCTCAAAATGTTAGCTTTTATAGCATTATAATTACTATTATTAGGGGTGGTGAGAAGCCCTGACTCTTCGATGTTTACTTCTCCTGAATGAATGCAGCTGCAGCACGTCCTGAGAGACCCTGGAGAACTGAGACGAGAGACCTACCCAGTGAGGCGGTTTCGGATAATTTTGACGCTCATCACGGTCTCCCCCATGGTGGCAAAGGCTCTGGAGATGAAGTTCTCGTCCATGTAGGGTTCCAGCTGCGTAAGAACAGGAGCAGAGCGGCTCAGACACGCGCCCAGACTCCCCATTCCGGGTTCCAGAGCCCCTCCCCCTCAGTCCAGGGGTCGCTACAGGCTGCTGGGGGGCGGGATACGGAGAGGTTTTCCTCATCAGCGTGGTCCGAACTCCCAAGCCCTTCACTCAAACTTGTTCCTCTTTAGGGAGCCTCCTCTTTGGACCTAGGAACCCCACCCCTCCAGTCCTAGAACCACGGCGCCCCGCAATCCTCGGGATTCCTCCCGTTCTATCTCCCCAAAGCACCTTTCCTTCCCTTCCAGGAACCCAGCGCCCCACCCCCCACCCCCGTAGACTCAGCCCCTTCACTTAGATGCTGGGACCCGCTTCTGTGCCACCAAAAAGACCTCACTTCTACCCCTTTGGGACCTAAAGCCCCTCCCCCTCAGACTCTCTCCGTTGCGACACCGATATTCCTCCTGCTCCTCAGACCCGGGCGGCCGCCCTCACTCACGTCCCCCATCCACAGGCTGGCCGCCATGCCCGCGCCCGGGCCGGGAACTTGCAGGCCTCAGAGGCCCTCGCGGGATCCTGTCAGCGCGGTCAGCGCTGCGGAGACCGCCGGGGAGCATGCGCGCCTCCGATGTCCTCTGCGCACGCTCGGAAACAGCGACCCGGGACAGCCCCACACTCCGCCCCGGGTTTTTCTGGCGACCTGGCGGGGCGGGGAGCATCCCGACCCCAGCGGGCGGGGCTCAGGCTCGAATCCCCAGGATGGGGCGGGGCAGGGCTCACCCGGCGCCGGCACGTGGGCTACTCCGAGAACTGACCTTCTCGGATTTCTTTGATTTGTCTGCTTGTTAGGTTTTTTGGAGGCTGGCTGGTACGGGGATCCAAACCCTTGACCTTGGTGTTTCAAGGTGGCTCTCTAACCAATTGAGCTAACCGGCCAGCCCTCGGATTTATTTGACTTTATATATTTAAAAAACAAAACCACAATTATATACGTGTGTGTGTGTGTATATATATTAACAAAAGTAAAACATGCTTGTAAAAAATTGCAACTATAAGCAGTTAAAAAGTAAAAGGGAAGGACCTCTTTGGGAGCCTGGACGTTCGGGTTCCACAAACTGTGACCTTGGGCAAGCCACTGCTCCGCCCCAGCCACCCCTCACTCTGTGTTTCCCAGTCCATAGAACACGAGATTTTTGAAACTCATTCCCGCATTCAGCCATGGAGTGGGAGGATGGGAGGGATAAAGGGCTTGTAAATAAATGTAACCATATCTCAACCTGTCACTGCTTTCTTTGG